CTCCCAGCCACAGGGGAGACCCTGCCAGACATGCAAGTTAAAACTTGATAGCAACCAGCTATAAAGTTATTGCACATTTTTGAGGTCTAACTTTGTAGCTGGTTGGAGCTTTGTATCATGTGATAGCTATTTGCATGTGTAGCTGGTTTTAAGCTAATTGTGTAATTAACCACTTAATTGTGTGATACCTGTAATGTGTAGAGAGGGCCTAAGACTCATATAACTTTAAGTTATTGTGGAGTTCTGCTCAAAACTACCAAAGAAGTTCCATGATTCTGATGATTCAGCAAATGCTAGTACATCATCCCTAGGTTGAAGGCATTAAACTGAGCTGACCTCCTTTACAAGTCTTAATGGAAATCACTTCAACAGAAAAAAAGGTTTATGAGATGTATGTTAATCTGAGCCGTTATCTGATGGCAGAAGATAGGGTCTAACTCAAAGGTAAAAAACAGAAGATGAAGGATCACAGTAAATAAACATGGTCATACATTCTTCTACTGAGAAGACAGACAACAGAACCAAAAGAGATAAGATTCTTTCATATTATCGGCAATTAGTTGGTTTCACTGTCTTTCCTAGGTAGAACTGGAACAGAAATTATGGGTGAGAAGCCATGGAGTAGAGAAATATCAGTGTGGTCTAGCGGGTTTGTTAAAATATAAAAATGGCCTTATTAGGAGAAGGCAGTTCTTTCACACTGGAGTGGCTCATAGCAGGTGACACCAGGAAATAGTTTCATGAAGCCTAATAATCTTGTCACAAAAAATGAAAAGCTGGTAAAAACTGATAAAATAGGAAAGATGCCATGGAATGTAAACTGTTAGCAGCAGGAGGAACTTTGAACAACCAGCTCTAAAGGTGAAGTTACATGTTACACACAGACCATACTAAGGGCATTTAAAATGTGTATGTATGTTAAAGCTCATTAACTCATGCCAAGTGCGCTCTGACCATGTCAAAGTTACGCTACTTCAACAAAGGGTTAATTCTAGGCTATGCTACCTAGCTTGTGTTAGGGTAACTTAAGTTTCCTCCACTGAGATAAAATGAGCAATTTACAGTCCTCCAGCATCACAGGATGCACCGCTCCCAGCCAGCAGTGTTAACACTTAATGGCCGCGTCCACACATGGTGTGGATGTTTGGATCCCCGGGGAATACCCGTGCCATGCACACTTTGGTGTGCAGCAAGTTACCTCAGGTAGGATAAGGGCGGCTGAGGCCTGCACTGGGCTGGCCCCAGCAGCCTTACCTGGGGTCCTGGGGATTCCCGGGGCTGCAGCAACAACGATTCTGCCACATGGAGCCTGGCCAGAAGCTGCAGCATGGATCCGGGAGGCCCAGCTCCACTTTTGAGCAGCACACGCTGCCCCTGCATGCGCGGCTCTGCTTTTTTTTCCCCCATGAATATCCAGGGGTCAAAAAAACACATAGAAACAAAAAGCAGGGTAGCATCCGCACAGGAAGAACTCACTTGCAGCATGGAGAACACCTGAATGTGCGGTACGTGGCACCACAGATGTTTGCAGCACCACATACTGCACGGCTGTGCTCATCTGTGACTGCTCACAGCATGTTCTGACTTTACACTGCTTCACATTCCACAGATTTTGGATGGCCTAAGTGTACTGTGTAACTTTAGTTGTTTTCTTATCTCTGGACAATACAGTTTTAAGCTAATTCTCCATAAAACTCACTTCTTGGAACAAGGCACACAATTAAAGAACAAGACAGCGGTGCTATATGTCACATTTTTGTCAAGTCATCTTCCTCAGACAATTAAAACAAATATGAGAAAATCATCATTCATTGATAATATTTTAATCTATTTTTGCAAAGGAGGGAAAAGCTCTGGTTTGAAAAGCCAGCTCAAATGTTACATGCTGTATGACAGACTTTATGTGTGATTCTATCCTTTAGTTCACAGAAAAAGGATACTGGTTGGATACAACCTCCTTTTACAAAGCTATTTTGGGTTTTTTAACCTCATGTAGCACTGTATATGTACTATGTATCACTGTACCAGCAATAATATGGGTACTTCATATTGCAATGATAAGATTGCTGAAAGATTCACAGGCTGTTAATTATTACAAAGTCATTAATCAATGCTGGAGACACCAAGTGTGGAATGACCGTTAAATGTTTTTAAATATGTGAGGATTTGTCAGTTGTTCGTTTGGCAGTTGTTATTTAGAACTTAAATGTTGAAATTATTATATTTTTATTTTTAAGTAATCTCTCATTAACTCAGGCAAAATTCTATATGCATTCACATCATTTGTGTGTATGTGTAGTATCTCACTCTACCTTTCTTTGTGTACTCATGAAGAAAAGGACAAGAGTATGAATTAAAACAAATCTTAATTTTTCATCTTAAAATCTTGACATGTTAAAATTATTCGGCCATGTTGCTCATGACTGTAGGTAATGATTTTGTGTAGTAGGCATATGTCAGAATGAAATAAATCTTTGGCCATTTTACCTCTTAAATTTCAAAAGAGTTTCTGCAAATGAGTTGTTGGCTAAATAGACCAAACTTCACCCAGTGCTGCAACATGTGCTGTGCTGTATGCATCTATTTGAAATGCTTAAAGGGAAATGCTAGAACCAAAAAGCTGAAGTAACTTAATTCATTCAGTAAATATGGAATGAAAATTTCCATTAACACTCACGAGGTTTTTGCAGTTCTGACAACCTGCCTCATCTGTTATTTTTCAGGTTTTTATAGTATAAATCCTAAATTGCTGTACAAATGACAGTTTACACTGGAATACCTGATACTTCAACAGCAGTCTGTCACAAGATGATGATTTGGCCTGACTGGAGAAATAATTTTAAATAATTACCGGTATATTATCACTAAATTAATCCCTATTACCTGGTTTGCATAATTTCATAAGGCTAAGATTGTTTCCCTTGATATAGTAGTGCTATGGGTTTAGGATGTATCAAAATGATAGATGATCATAAAATGGAAGCTTAGATTACCACTTTGAACTTGACATTCTTTCATATGGGTGTAAGTAAGAGTGCACTGTAGTCAATAGTGTAAAATAAAGAAAATAGTACAATTAAATATCTTTTATATACAGCATAGTAAAATAAAATTATTGCACGTCCTTATATACTGTTTTGATTAAGTCTTATGAACAGTCACCTAACAAGGCTCAGTTCACCCAACATCCATCTCTGGTTACCTCTTCATCACTTTGGTGTGTTTCCAGACTCCTTTGGTTTCACAGGCATTCTTAGAATGAGAAAAAGACAATTTAAGATGACCCAGAATTTCATTTTCGCTCTTACAATTACTTTAACAAGTCATATAAAGCTCAATTTGGAATCCAACTCCAACTTGAGGGTCAATAAATTCAAACCATACCACAAGCTCCAAGTGTAACTTCTAACACCTAATGGAACCTGGCAAGCATTAGACTTCAATCAGAGATTCATGACACGTTTCCCTGAAATATTTTGGGATTTGAGCTAATCAGGAATTTTTTCAAAAAAGTGTTTTTTTTCTTTGGAAATCCTAATTCATGAAAAATGAAACTTTTCACAAAATGGTATTGGTTTCAACAAAACTTTAGACTAGAAGTTGTTCAGAGCCAGAATGGAATTTCTGGCCAAAACGAGAGGGTTCCCCTTCCACACATATGCACACACATCTAGAAAACGGCAATAACCATGATACTCATCTGGGATATGGGATACCTGAGTTCAAGTCAAGCAGAAATAAGCAGAACAGAGATTTTAATCCTGATCTCCCTCAAATAAGTGAATAGTCTGACCAGTGAGTTAGATCAGTCTCTTCTCTCCTCAGCCCTCAAATATTCAAAAGGTTATATTTTTGGATCTGAAGCAGAACAGGGAAAAAGAATGAAATCTCATAAATGTTCATGGGATGAGAAAACAGTTTTCCACTCAGGCTTTGTTGCGATTATATCTGTAGAAGTATCTTCAAATTCTAACACATTCCATAGCAGAACATTCTTATATTGCACCTTTTTATTATGACTGTATTTCTTTTTCCTGTATATAATTAAAATAATAACTCTGTGGTCTGAAAATTGGATCAAGATGTTATAATTTATATTTTTCCTTCCTTTTAACTGTTTTCAGTCATCTTGGCTCTTTTTCCTGATTTAGAAAAATCATATATTTTCCATTTTTACTTTTGTTTTGTGCTCATTTGACTAAAACTAGCTTCTATTTAAAATTATGTCATTTGGCAAGTGACTAGCCTGTACAATGGGTTTCCCTTTGATAGCCATAGAATAAGAAACAAAAACAGAGGAGGGTTTTTTTAAGTCATTGTAGAACGTTATCTACATGGTCTTACACTTTTTTTCTAACTCTTCATTAATATTCTGAATCTGGAACTTTAGTAAACTGATAGTAAAAGTTAAGAGCTAATATTCTTTTAAGTTATGGAAGGATTTCAGTCAACTCTCATTTATAATAAATGGCAGGTGTCAGGCAAAGACATTTCCTTGTGATGTACTGAAAATTTATCTTGAAGTATCTGGAAACTAACAGTTAAGGATGAGCCCCGCTTATATGTTCCCAGATGATTCAACCAAGTTGATATGTAAAACTGCATGTAGATGAGTGACCCCAGGTTTGATTTCATAGTGCCCAGGCAGGGATCTACTGTTATCATCTTATACTGTCAGTTGGGTCTTCTGGGCTTAGGATGCCTCAGCCCTTTAAAGGTTAGCAAATGTTGGAGGTTCCTTCTAAGAGATAATCCTATCTTCCCCCTCAAAGGAATCCTTCCAGTGAAATGGTCATTGGAGCCCTTGGTCCCACTCCTCCCCCCTTTTTTTCCCAGCTAAACATTGTGGGGAGGTTGGTTGATTGTCTGTTGGTTGTTTGTCTGGGGCACTTTTCTTTTAAATTCTGGAACATGAATTTGGGCTTATGAATGAACGCTGTGGCAAAGCGATTGTATTGCGCATTAATGCCTCTCCCCTCTTTCTCCACTCTGATTCAAAGCAGCATGCTTGACAGTTCGAGCCGTCTTGATGAAGAGCACAAGCTGATCGCCAGGTATGCAGCAAGACTGGCAGCAGAGACCTCTTCATCAGTAAGTGGTTTTAATTAACGGAACGTCGTTTTTTTGTTTGGTTTTTTTCCCTGTCTTTTTCTGAGGGTCTATCAAGATTAGAAAAAAATTATAATCAACAATGCTGATGGTTCACAGATTATTTTCCTTCTACTTTCATTGGAGGATAATGTGTTATAAAGGACAATAATGCTTTCATGCAGTTAGTGCTAGTTTAAAGAAACAGAATTGTGTATTTTATCTTTATGCTATTTAAACAATTTGAGAAGTTAGCCATTGCCCCTTTCCCCCAACCCCTCCATTACTCCACTATCTCTGAATGCAGAACAGAAAGAGAACTTGACCTTTGCACTCAGACTAGATTGGAAAATATTGCCTGGGTTTGTGCTGGTTAAAGGTTAATGATTTACCTCAGAGGGAAAAAGCTGTAGTGAATCCATTTTAGTCTTTAGTTCAAATACCACAGCCACCAGGGCTCTAAGTGCTATGCATTTTAAATAAAGATCTTGGACAGGATGACTATAATGACCCTATTGCATTAGCCTCTCTCTCATTTTCATTTCAGAGCAATGATTATTCTACTCTATGAATCCCAGGGTAAGGAAGGAATGACAGGCTGGAAAACTTATGTTTTCAGAAACAGAGATAGTGAAGCAGGAACTTAATTGAAGTGTATAAAAGCTTAAATGGCATAAATAAGGCCAGCCTAGTTACTTATTTCCATCTCAGCATATTTGAAAGAACAGGGAAGTATAAATGAATGTTAAATGGAAAGCAGCCTAGAGCAGAATGCCAGGAAGCATATTTCCACCTTGAGATTTACACTCTGGGGTCAATGGAAAGGGAAAAATCAAGCAAGGTTGTTCATGTAAAAGCAACGAGCCACATTCATCCCAGGTGAAGTCAGTGGAGCCACAGTGAGGATTAACCTGGCCTGTGGTAGTAAGCCATCTATCACTTAAGATTTTACAACATGTAAAGAGAAAGGAAGGAAAGGATGCACATGAACTGATGATCTCACTGTGAGTTCCCTGAAAATCAATCACTTGAGTGCAGATCCAATCAAATTTAAGGCAACCTCTCACTTGCAGCTGATTCGTCTTGTCACTGAAGGAGGGTAACTCTTTATATGACCAGAATGGTCTGTTAATGAGGTCTCCAGATGGAGGACTCTTCCTGAAAACTATAACTTTATCTGTATCTATTTTTTATGGTCTTTGTAGCACCAGAGTACTTGGAAATCCTTACAGAGACAGAGTAATTAAATAATAAAAAATAGATAAGTTTTGGATGGATATTATTTCCCCTCCCCATCTATATTGTTCTGTCTTTTAAATATGTCCTTCAAAAGAAAAATTAGATCGCTCCTCTGAACAGATTTTCGTAAAAAAAACAAATATATCAGTCATAAATTCTGATCTTCACCATAGTAGCCAGCTGGAAGATAACCAGCCTGTGCTGCTCATTCTGCTTCTCAAACAGACGAGGAATAGCAAGGCTTTTCCAAACCAAAGGCCCCAGTAACTTTTATCTCAGTTTTACAGTCTATCAGTGTGTGTTAAATCTCCCCTTTTTATGTGTTTTTTTTCCTTGGAGGATAAAATATTAGTGATAAACTGTATAGGTACCAGAAAATGAAGTTTTAAAAACAAAGAAGATTAGAAATGTTTTTCCCTGCATGGAACAGAGCTTAGCACCAGGAAAAAGTCTTCCCATTATTGGAGCACTCAGTTCTGTGGGGTACTGTGCTCTGTGAAGAAAACACTCGTCTTCTTGCAAAGCTGGACACTGAAGTGACACTTCAGATCCTGTTTAAAGTAAGAAACATTCCCAGTTGCAGTGGCTGAAGGCAGTAACTCAGATGGTCATTTTTTTAAGTTCCAGTCCTTAAATCATGAAGTTAAAACATTTGTATTGATTATTTTGTTACTGAAGACAATATATTAACACTAGCAAATTGCCCATCATGAGTGATGGGGGGAGGGGAGTAGGTGAGAACAGAGCGCTGCCACCCAGCGCCCTGTGGTGCCACCGCTCTGCCTCCAGCCCCGTGGGCTTTCCCTTCCACCCCCTGCATCCTCCCATCCTCCACTCTTGTCTGTCCTCTGGGAGGATGTGGCCACCCTGTCGATGCAGCGGTGAGGCCGGAGCGGAGGGGGCAAGGCCAGCACTGCGCCACCAGCACCCCACACCGCCGCTGCCTCCACGGTGCTGGCCTCAGCCCCCCTGCTTCAGCCCCTCAGTCCCTGCTGTCATGGTGGCATTCCACCATATGTGTCTGTCTGTGCAGAGCACTCTGATTGGTTGTTTCAGTAAGCACTGTGATTGGCTGCCAAGACAACCAATAAAGCATGCTCATAAAGCATTACAGACAGACAGACAGACAAGCTAAGGCTTTTATTATATTAGAATAATATAAAATGCTATATTAATTCATGCAATGCAATGTCATGTATATGTATATTTAAATGTTTCATTTTAATAAATGCTGTAACCTTAGGTTGTTGCTAGTGAACACTACAAAGGATAGGACAACAAAGCTTAATAAGTGACAATTCGCTCTGTAGAAAATTGTTTTAAATCCCTAAATTTTCATTGAGAAAAAGTTCTGTTGTACCTTAAAACACCCTGGAATAACTCTTTTGCAAGCATTATTAGAGTGCATGAGAGGGAGATTTGGTCAAATGGGTTTATACTGATCTGTAGCCTGAATTAAAACTGGATGACAAATGAGGCTTTCAAATGGGAGTTCCTGTTCTGTTTTCAAGGGAAGAGATCTTGTTTGGATCAGTGGAAAGTAAATACTTTTCCATGTCTTTGAAGAAGCGCTGGGGTATATGTTGGAAATAGTTTCTTTTGTCTCAAGTCTCAATTGCCTTGTCTACTGTTTAAAAATTAGGAGCCATATTACAGCAACTGCGAACAATGCTACAGCTGCACCAGTGCTAAACTAAGGGGTTATCATTTACTGTGATAGATGGGGTTAGACACTTCTACCACTGTTTCTTGGAAGCCTCCTCAGAGGAGGCAAGTATAGTAATCCTACAAGCCTAGCAACCTAGCACTTGCACTGCTAGCATGCAACTGCTAACCCACACTAGCACTTGCACTGCTGTTGCAACATTAGTGACTTGTACTATAATATGGATACTTTTCTTTAATGTAGACAAGTCGAATTTGGTGTAAACAGATGTCACTAAACAATTGTTGATTGCATGCTGACCCCATGGACAGGTGTTACATTTGTAGCACTAAGTAGGCCATTGCAGTGCTACAAAAAGGGAGCATACAGCCATTTAAGCAGTTTGTAATATAATGTGAATGTAATTTCTATAACAGCAGGTGGAACCATGGGGAAGTTTGCAGACCTATGATATCTGTTAATTTGGACTGCAATTCCCAGATATCCCCAGGGGCTGGGGGGCAGGGGGAAAAGGAAAAGGAAGCCTGAGGTTGGAAGAAGGGGAAGAGAGAGCAGTGTGCACGTGAAACCTGGTTAGCCCCACACAGAGGAGTGCACAGTGGAGCTGGAGTTCTCACTGGCTCGGTCAGCCAGGACTGTGGGCTGAAGGAACTGGACTCAGACTTGGAGGAAGTTGCAGACTGCTTTTTAAGCCCTCTAGTGACTAAAGGCTTGTTTGGGAATACCTCCAGAGGTGTGGGGGAGAAATTAAGGTGCTGATTAAAGCTCTCTGCAGCCATGCCCTGACAGAAGTGTCTGGCAGCAGAGTGCTTTAAAAGTGCCCAATTACATAACAAATTAACCCTCATTATACACTAGGGGGGGCTTCCCCCACCCCCAGCACAGGATGGGCAAACCCCAAAATAAACACCCTCCTTTCCCTTCCCCACTCTCATCTTGAAGATAGCACCAGAGCTGGGGGTGGGAAGAGGCAGGGGGAGCTGGGCTGGGGGAGGGCGGGGGGGAGGGGTTGCTGTAACTCATGGCACTTCCTGTGGAGTGCCATGAGTTACAGCAGGAACTGCATGTCTATGAGCACCCACAGTAGCACTACAGAGATGATGCAAGTACTACAAAATTGTACGTCTTTTGGAGAAGAATTTCTTAGTTTTGTACCACTTTCAAGTAACACTTGTACAGTTACATTTAGTGCTATAGAGGTCCCTAAGACCCTCCGCATCATACAGTCTTCTGCCCTCCCTCCCCCCACTCCAAGAAGGAGGAAGAGGAGGAGACTGGCCAGTACTCTGACTAGCTTAGCTGCAAGCTATCAGGGAGCCCTGCTGTGATCTGCTGCTGCCCCTTCTAGAGGCCTGGCTCTTTCTATGGCTCTTAAAGTGGTGGTGGCAAATCCCTCAAGGGTAGCTCTGTCATGCCTGCTGTAGCTGCACAGTTGTCTGGCACTATGGGGGATGGCGAAGGTGAGGAAAGCAGTTTCTCTCATGCCTGCTACCACAACAGAGGTAGGGTGGGGTGGCTATTCTGCTTTTCAACAACTGCTTATTGAAAGGGAAAAGGCAGGCTGTCAGCGATTGAACTCCTAGAGGCAGGGCAACTCAAGGAAAAGCCCCCTATCCATCTCCTGGCTGGAGAGATCACCTTTGAGGTGAGTATAGCTCTCCAGCCCAGGGATTGGAATGCCTGTATGCCCTCAAAATGCTATAACTTTGTGGCTAGGGACAGAAACTACACATCAACCGGTATAAGTGATTGGACACCAGTTCAACTCTGTAACACAAGAGAAGTTCAGTGCACATAAACTACTTTCAAAATGGTTGAAACCAGTTTAAGATAGACCTGGATGGATGTACTATCAGACTTAACTGATTTAGGTTAAATCAATTTATTGAACTTCTGTCCCAGATCCCCTCCAGATGCAAGTTAACTCAGTCCCCCAGCATCTCAAGATGCTTGGCACCTCTCCTGAAAAACCTGCCTCCCCTCCCCGACCCGTCACAGGGTGGCTGGGCTAGCCGTGGCCCAAGCTGGCCTCCAGCTGAGCAGGGAAGCGTGCTCCAGTGCACCCCTGACTTCTGGCCTGGGCCACTTCAGGCACAGGCATGTGGCTGCATTTCTGGAATCAAAAGTGAATGTCTGTTCACTTGCTTATCAGTTCAATCTACACAGCTTAAACTGACCTGCAAAGATTGAATTGATTCAGCCTTGTGCTTTTTTGACTGTCTGTACTTAGCCTGTAGCACTACAAGTGAATTCCTCTCCACACCATTAGGTGCAAACAAATGAAGTGTCGTTGTTTTTAATAATGCAGCCAGTCCCAATCTCCTTTACAGCAACAGCAAGGTCAGCAAAGGGGTGCATCAGATATCTCTTTCACCATTGATGCAAACAAGCAACAAAGACAGCTGATTGCAGAGCTTGAAAATAAGAACAGGTAAGTATCCAGAAAGAACTCAATGTTTTTTTTATAGCTGCATGTTTTTGACATTTCTTCAAGCTTCTGCATGATACATATTAAAAATATGGAGAAAAGACAAGTTATCATGCCTTTGACAAAATCATAGAGCGTTGTAATCAGCCTGTAAGTTACTAAATACTGTGTTTCAGTTGGTTCTTTTACCATTTGAGATGCCCTCCCTTCTTTTACCATTGGAGATGCCCTCCTTAAGGGTTAAAAACAGAACTCCCTTCTCATTTCAAAAAAAGAAAGAAAATCTTCTCAGATTCTCAGCAACAATACAACAAAAAGGGGTACAAGTTGGTCAGTTTTAATAATATGAGGGTGTCCTGTTCTCTTTCTGGAGTGGAAAATCGAAGAGCTCCAGAACATAATCTATGACTGACAAATAAAAGAAGCAGCAATTATAAAAAAAAATATTAGCAAGAAATTAGGTCTTTAAATAGACATAACTGAGGTTGGGAGGCAGGCATCTAGAATAAGAGGCCAGATGCCCACTAATATAACTCATCCTAGCTTCATTGTGCCAGTGGAACTGCACCAGTTTTTACCAGCTGAAGGTCTTGCCCTGAGTGTCAGATGTGATGTCACAATATCTAAGCCATGTATGACCATCTAAGCCATGTAATCTGTCTCCGTTCTGTTTTTCCATTAGTTAGATAAGGATTGACCAAAAATAAATACTTTCCTACCATAAAATTACTGGAGTGCCTTTATCACTGTGCCTTTATCAGAAGTCCACTACCTCCACAGTTAAGTTGTCTTAATTACTCAAGTCAGCTTTTTATGTATTTGATGTCCACCAGTGTATAATAAAGAGTCACTACTATCGCTAAGTTACACTGCTTCATTCTTTTGCTGTGAAGCTGTTCAGCCTCTCTTAATAATACTCTTATGTCATTGAATCAATTATAGTAAATCCTATTAAAGCTACATTCCCCTGAAGAGTTGCCCTCTCTCAGATCCATAGTCAAATTAAAAGCATTTAAAAGAAAGGTCAAAAGGTTTGTGCCTGATTCATGTAGAAGACAGAGCAGATATTGTTCTAGTTTCCCTTAATTTCATGTGGCGCATCAAACATCTGTGTGAGGAACCAGGAGTGAAATGTCTTTATTTAAACACGGATCTTCATACCTGCTTTCTACAGAGAGCATCTGCAATTCAGTTTTTGGTCTGGTTTGTAAAGATCTTATAAAAATACTCTCTCTCAGTAGTGCCTTTTTTCTATTTTGAAAAGAACATCAGAACCTGACCCAGTGATGAGAGTTTCACTAAAGCTGAGATGTTTGATATGATTGTAAGCCTAGCCCTAATATCCTAATCAGTTCAGAACTCTTTATCTCATGCTGACTGGATGTTGGAAGAGTTGATGAAAATATATTGACCTTTAGTCTTTTACTTGCCTTCCTCCTCAAGAGAAATTTTACAGGAGATCCAGAGGCTGCGACTTGAACATGAGCAGGCGTCTCAGCCCACACCAGAGAAGGCACAACAAAACCCAACTCTCCTTGCAGAGCTTCGACTCCTGAGGTAGGTGCAGTGTTTATGCTCTGAGGAACTTTGAGAACAGCTGAAAACAGCTGAGCCCTGAGAATAGGGTACCCTGGGCATCATCTTTTTAAAACAGTACATAACAAAATGCATATTTCATTTGGAGTCCATAAAAGCCCTGACCCCCCAAACAATGAAGTATATGCTTAAAATTTCACATATGAATAGCTCCATTTGTAATTCCTGGGTGTGAAAGCAAGCATGTGTGCAAATGCTGCTATACTAGAACACACACTTTTACCAAGAAAAAATATTGGCTTTGCCTCTTTTCCTTGAGTCCCATTTGGGCCAGATAGTATCTTCTAATATGAGAGCCAGAATAAGCATCAAGGTAGAACAATGTAAAACCAGCTCCCAGAAACAGATATGAATAGAAATACTTCCTCTCCAGTTAAAAATTTCAAATTAAATTTTCATCACATTGAGCTATTTTGCAGGACACAAGGCAAAAGAGAACTTATCATGCATGGAACGTGTGCATGTCCTTTACCAAATAACTTATTGCTCAGATATTGGAAGACTGACTCATATGTGAGAAAAAATCACAGGGAAGGCTGTACAGATCCTCTTTCTTTACAGAGCTTTATTTTTAAACTTCTCTAGCCCTAAAATAATGTGGTTTGTAAATAATTATCTTTGTTTCCTAGAGGCAACCCCCGCTTAGCACTCTTAATTGGTTCCAGAAAAACCAAGCGCTAAGCAAAACAGTGTTAAGTGAAACTCATTTCCCCATTGGATTTAATGTAAATAAAGATAATTGATTTCACACCACCTGCCAGCCCAGACCCCACACTCCTGCAGCCACACCCTGGGTCCTGCGCTCCTGCCCGCCCCGGCCAGGCTGCTCCCAGCAAGGCACCATGTGGGCTCTGCCAGAGAAGGCGTCGGCTCCTTCCAGCCTTATTGTTTCCCCACTGCAATGGCTCCTGCCAGCCTGCACCTGCTGGCCACCAGTCACCTGTGCACAGCCCCAGGTGCCCTGCCCGGTGGACCTGAGTTCAGTACCTGCCTGCCCAGGGATTTATGGTGAGAAGGCAGCAGGGCTCTGGCACAGGGTAAGCAGTGGGGCCACCCACCCATCCGCGCCCCACTTTGCCCAGTGGGGACTCTTTCCAGGGCACCCGGCACTGGGATGAGTTGCCACTGCCAGATTGCTGCAGGGGACATGGGCAGGAGTGGGGGAGCTCTGTGGGCTCGGCTTGTACTGGCCCAGGCCCTGCACTCCTGTCAGCCCTGGCCTTGGGCCCCATGCTCCTGCTCCCCACCCACCCCTTCTCACTGCCGCTGCTGCTGCTCCCCGCCCACTGGCTGCTCCAGCACCACATGCCGTAGCAGACCCTCTACTCCTGCCACCTTGCCCTGAGCCCCACCGGCCTGGGCTCCAAGCTTAGATTGCCCAGCCACCCACCCACCCTGTCTTGCTGTTACTGTTCCTCCCCGCCCACTCCAGCACCATGTGCCAGAGTGGACCCTGGGCTCCTGCCACCCCTCCCTGGGCTCCTGCCAGCTGCCACTCACGCTGACGCCACTGCTTCTCCCCACCCCTGTACTGAGCACTATAATGAAAGGTGCTGACCGCTAAGTGAAGCCAGGTAGGTACAGGCAGTCCTTGAACTTACAACACAATTGGTTCCTGAAAACCACGTCTTAAGCCAAAATGTTGTAACTCGGAACCAATTTTCTCATAAGAAACAATGTTATAAATGGGGGATTGGTTCCTGAACCAAGGCCCAATACCCTATTTTCACTAAAGATACCCCAGATTTTTGTACTTGATCAATTATAGATGAGTAGTATAGCTACATTAATATATTTATATTGTAAATAGCAATCATATTGATTTGGAAGGATTTCTTTGAGGTAACTTTGCTGGACTTTTTGAAAGGGTATTGGTTGGACTTTTTGAAGGGTTCTTGGCTGGAGTCTTCTCAGGAGTCTTGGCTGCAGGTTTTTCTGGAGTCTTGTCTGCTTTCTTAAAGAAAGTGTCCAAGGAACTTTGGACAGATATTCTCCAGGGAGATGAGTGATGCAGCAAACTTGTTCGCTGGAGTGGCATTGCATCGGATCAAGTGCTGTAAAGTCAAAACTGACATCATAAAATTGAAACAGCGTGTCAATTTTTGAAACTTGTAATTGCTAAACATAACTTGAAATGTTGTAAGTTGAGGACTGCCTGTATTTTAAATTAGCACTATAACAAAACTGCGCTAAGCGAAACCGTGTTAAGCGGGGGTTGCCTGTAAGCTGGGAATAGAGCTACTTCTTTTTATGACTGATGTACTTTAGAGATCTCTCAGCAAGTGACATTCCTCATGAGCTGGAGAAAAAAAGCTGAAGGATCATGTCCACATGAGCAGGGGCATGCTGCAGTGCATGCCCCTGAACACATTTTCCTGCTGTTCCATGTGCTGCAGGGGGGCTGGCTGGGGCACAGGATGTCTCGGCATGGGGCTAGCCAGCAGCTCTGTAGTGGAGTCCCCATGCTGAGTCATGCAAAAACAAGGCAGCAGGCAACCCAGGGCTGCTTGCTTCCCTGTCTCAAGGCACACTGTGCCCCAGCCTGCTGCTTCACAGTTGGATAGGCTGCAGGGTGCATCAGCGCGGGGGCTCTACATCATGCAAAGATGGGGGAGCAGGCAGCCCTGGGCTTGTCCTGGCACATAGCACTTTGGCATGCTTTATGCCCCTTTTTTCAGGGGTTTTATTTGCTACCAGGAAATTTTGCCCTCACACTGCTTATTAGGGCTAGGGACAGACATTGCACATAACCAGTTTAAGTGATCAGAAATTGGTTTAAACCTGTAACAGAACAGACATTCAGTGCCAGAACCATCCCTAGGGGTGTGCAGGGCCTGAGGCATATCAGCTTGTGCGAGACTAGGGGGGGTGGAGTGGCGAGCGACCAGAGCATGGAGCAGTTGTCCTGATTCGCCCCTCCCCAGGGATGGCTGTGTTCAGTGCACATAAAACAGTTTGAAAGTGGCTGAAACCAGTTTGAGATAAACTTAGCTAAATGTAGTATCAAACTTAACTGATTTGGGTCAAACCAGTTTATGCAATTTCTGTCCCAGGCCCATTCCTGGGTTTAACTTAAACCAGAGTCCCCCAGCATCCCAGATGCTTTGAGTCCTGGGCAGGGCTCTCACCTCCATACCAGAGCTGACCCCACCCCTCTGCTTCCTAGCTGGAGCTCTGGCAGAGACTTGCAGGCACAGCAGGGTCTGCCTGACTTTCCCTGCCCCATCCCCAACTAGCCACTGGCTGCTCAAGCAGGAATCCCTCCCTCCTCTGTCCCACAGCATGGACTGTAGCCAGCATGTGGTATGCTAGCTAATGCTGAGAGGTGTCTGTGTAAGGCAGACAGGACAAAGGCAGACAAGACAGTGTCCACTTAGGGCTTTTTGAAGCAATTCAGCAGGTCATCTGGTAATGTTCCTCCATTCCTTCCTTGGAAAAAGTTGTTTAAAAAGAGCTTGAACTAATGAGAGAGGCTTTTATTTTGCTCAAGGGGTTATAAGTAGGTCTGTGAGAATAGGGAAGTATTCAACTCAGATTCGGATTCAACCAATTCAGAGGACAGTGATTCAATTCGATGATTTGAATTGCTATCCCCATTCGATTCATCCAAATCAGAATCTGAGATTCCGCACTGATTTGGCACTGATTCGGAGATTCAGATCGGCTGGGGAGAGGCAGGCACATCTGGGTGGCTGCAGGTTCTCCCATGGCTTCTCCAGCTGTGCCTGCCTGGAGGGAACCATGGGAGAAGCCCCCATGGCTGCCCTGCCCAACCCCACCCCCCACCCGACCCCAGCCTCTGGGCACTTTAAAGAAAAATAAAGAGTTGCAGCAGCGGGGATCAGGGTTTCTGAGGGCTCCTAGCAGAGCCCCCACACACAGTGGAGGGCAGTTGGGATTGTTCCCCCCACCTGGCACCTGGATGGCAGCTGCCCCCTGGCACGGGGGCAGCATGTCTCAGTAGGGCACCGTGCACTGTGTGGGAGCTGGGGCTGCTGGGGCTGAATAGTGCCGGACTCTAGCTGATGCATGGAGCCGCCCCAGCTCCCAGAAAGTGCGGAGCTCCCTGCTGAGCCACGCTGCACTCACATGATGCAACAGCTGCCTCGTGGGTGCCAGGCATAGGGTAGGAGGTGATCCCCGCTGCCCTGCGCTGCACAGGGGGGCTCTGCCATGAGTTCCCAGAGGCCCTGATTGCCACTCCCAGAGGCGGTGAGTGCGGGGCTTTATTTATTTATTTATTTATTTAAGTGCCGGGATGCTGGGTCCAGGTGGGGGATGGAACCAGCCAGGCAGCCATGGAGGCTTCTCCTGTGGCTCCTCTAGCTATGCCTGCCTCTGCGCCAGTGGGCCCTGCTGAGCCACGCTGCGCCCACGCCATGAGACAGCTGCTGCACAAATGCCACACAGGGGGCAATCCCCACTGCCCCCCAATGTCCCACGCTGCGTGGGGGGTTCTGCCACAACTGCCCAGAGGCCCCAATCGCTGCTGCAAGAGCTGTTGAGTGCAGGGCTTTTTTTTTTCTTTTCAAGTGCCGGGAGGCTGGGGCCAGGCAGGACAGCCATGGGGGCTTCTCCCATGGCTCCTCTGGCTGTACCTGCCTCTGCCCTGGTGGGGGGAGCTGCAGGGGCTATGCTCTGCTGCCCCTTGCCCTCTTCTACCTGGAACAAGCCATGCCTGCATGTTTAGTCTATGGCCAAATCTCCAAAGTGGCCAAATCTTTTCTGAAGCTTTTCCAAATCAATTCGGATGCTTTGAACCAGTTTGGAGCTTTTAACTGGTCTCCTGATTCAATTCAGATTTGGAGATTTGGTCCCTGAATCGGGCCAAATCTCCTCCAAATTGAATTGACTACCAAAGCTTTGTGCAGCCCTACTGATAAACACTGTATAACTCCCTGTTGTGTAAGTAAATGCTATGTATGTCCCTGCTGGCTGCAGCAGTGAAGAGGGGTGGGGAA